CGCTCCCTGGAATAAGTCTTTACAGTTATGCTACAACTTCAGGTGCAACTCACACCATACGGCTATACCAGTCATCAGCTTGTCACATAGACACACAAACACAAAATACTGAACTGATACTCTGCTTATTTGCCCATGCTATAGAGGTAAATTGTTCTTCTTTTAAAATATCCACAGCACTAAGTTGCAAGGGTTGTGAAGCCTGCTTCTCATCACCTGGCCTAGAAACCCCAGCTCAGACCAAGATCCCCCATTTGTTCATACAACAACACACACACAGTTCCTTGTCTTTAGAAGCTTACCATTCATACACAGCTTCCCCAGTAAGCGAGCAACGCATATCCTTTACAGAATACACTTAGACATGGTGGTATAACTGGCAAACAGGAAGAGGCATGCAACAACTAAACCAAAAGCCCTCCCCAAGTTTAAGCCAAGTATTCAGGCAGGCATATAGCAGTGCAAATATGGTAGGAAGGTTCCAAATGTGCACATAAATTTATCTGATACATACACAGACATATCTGAGTAGTGTTTGTTCAGCATGAATCTGCAAGAGCTTGGTATCAAGTGGCACTAACATTGGAACTCTGGGAGTAAGTCACCAGATGTTGTAGAAGTTGAGGAGAAAAAAGATCTCTTTGGCCAACAAAATAAATAGGAAACACAACACGCTCCCCAAACATCAACTCTTGTCTTTGAAACATTATTTCAAATGGCTAAAGGTTTAAAACTGAGGATGAGTTAAGTGTTTAAGCTAGAAAAGCATCTATTAACACACAGCTCTACAGCAGAAGCTGTTCTAAGGATAACAGTAATAATAAGGATAATAACCTGTGATAGCTTTACAAAACCAAATAGCTACAGAGCTTTAAGTTCCTGTCTCAAATGCAGCACCATCCTAAAGGCAGAATCCAACTGTCACTGTTTCAGACTTCTGTAAACATGCAGGAAATTCCACAGTTATCATCTTAATTGATGTAATCAGAAAACCAATTCTTAAAAGTAAAGACAAGTTACCTAGTATTCATTTTGTGTGTCTGAAAACCTAAGTAAGGATCAAGAACCAAACTAGTTGCTAGGTCATCGTTTTCACACAGTTCCTTGGCAGACATTCCAGAGGAAGGCACATAACGACTCTGACCCTCAAATCCTGAAGCACCACTACCTGCAAATAAGAAAGCATAAACCAGGTATCATTTATGGAATGTTCTGAAACCCAGCTGCATTAGGGGGTAGGGGAGGCTGCAACTGAACTTTGGACAGCAAAAAAAAATTTTTTTTAAATCATAAAGGAAGAAGCAGAAACACAGTTCATTTTTAACTCTTACTTTTGTTGGTTATCATAGCTGACAATAGCATTTCAGAATGTATTTTTATGGGCATTTTTAATTTTGGCTTCCTTCTCTCTCCACCTCCCCACATACAAGCATATTCCAACACAACCCAGTCATACTTGCCTCTAAAGTTTAAGGCCTATGAGTGTGAGAAAGCCAATAAAATTTAAGTCTGACTGTCCTAAAATTTGAAAGAAGGGTTTTTACCAAATTTTTATTTCATTTCTCACTCCAAGTCAATAGCAAAAATAAACCCCAATGTTCCTTAAAACAGCTTTCTAACTACTATTGATACATGTGACTTCACTGAAAATGGGGTTTACTTCAACACAAACACACATTCACTAAAATTTGGGCTAGTAACTTGAATCATATCTGTTATCTAGCACCAATCACACTAGTTCTCAATAACTGCCAATCATGTATTTTGCACACAACCAGCTTCAGATTAATGTACGTTCTATCACTATCACTTAACTTCTAAACTGAAGAGATCTATATTCCCCAAATGAGTTACAACATCCAACAAATACAAACATAATCAATACTTCTGGTAAGAGTTACATGCACACCTCCTTCATGAATTAAGACCTTAGTAGAAGCCTGGCACACAAACTGATAGATGAAGCACAAACATGTACGTACATCTGCTTGATCTTCTCTCAACTCCATTTTTGCCAGACCTGGGATTCTCCTTTCCTGTGTGCTGCAATTTGGTTTGATTCTGCACGTGGTCATTAGACGCCCTGCTTCCACTTCTCCTGCCATTCACCACCATGTTCTTGGATTCTCCCAACCACTTCATGCCCACAGACAGCCTGACCCAGTTGCATTTAGTCACTTTTCAAAAGGCTCGGAGAAGTGGATGAATAATTTCAGCTCCAATACCTACTGGAAACAAAACATACACATCATTAGAAGTTACAAGGAAATCTGTTTCCATGACAAAGCTTTAACATACACTCACATTAAAAAAAAAAAAAAAAAAAAAAAGTAAAATGGTGATCCACATTTGCATTAGGAAAAAAGAAAAGTAGTTCACTAGCACTGGTGCAAGGAGCTGTTGCAAACAGACAGACACTCATAGGTGAACTGTAGTCCTGCAACTTGCTGAGACATCTTGAAGAAAAGACAGAATTCTAAAGCTGATAAATGGTTAAGGACAAAATCTATATAGGCACACGCCTATCTAATTATGCAGTTATACAGACACATACACACAGAATCATAGAACGGCTTAGGTTAGAAGAGATCTCTAAGGATCAATTAGCTCCAACCCCCTGCCATGGGCAGGGCTGCCCCACATGAGATCAGGCAGCCCAGGGCCCAATCTAACCCGGCCTTGAGTGCATCCAGGGATGGGGCATCCTCAGCCTGTGCCAGTACATCACCACCCGCTGAGCAAAGAATTTTTTCCCTAACATCTAATTTAATTGCTTCTCTTTTAATTTAAAGCATTCCTCCTTGTCCTACCCACCCCTAGACCATGTAAAAAGTTGTTCCCCTTCTTGCTTATAACTCCCTTCAAGCATGTACATCAATATATGTGAAGCTATGCGACTCCAGGAAACTGAGCATTTTCACACATACACCCAATTAAGGTTGTATTTCCTAATAAGCGTAGCATGCAACATGCTTTGAACTCTACAGCAATGCCTGACATTATACAAACACTCTCCAAAAAGTAATGAAGTATTTAAAAAACAAACAATCAAAAAAACCCGCCCAAACCCAGGGAAAACCAACAGCATTTTTCAAATGGGGATGGGGGAAAAAGGTTAAGTCCTCATTTAGAAACGGTATGTAGCTATATTCAAAAATCCCTCAGTGATGACCCTAGAGGACCCAGGCAGTTCCTGGATCACGTGACAGGAATGCAACAACACACCTGGCTCAATGGGCCATAATCACTGAGGTTGGAAAAGACTTCTAAGATGACCAAGTCCAACCCCAGTCCACCCCCACCGTACCCACCGACCTCATCCCTCAGTGCCACATCTCCCCTTTCCTTGTACACCTCCAGGGACAGTGACTGCATCCCCTCCCTGGGCAGCCCGTGCTGCTGCATCACCACTCTTTCAGAGATGCTCCCTAACATCCAATCCGAACTTCCCCTGGTGCAACTCGAGGCCATCCCCTCTCATTTTATCACTGTCACCAAGTAAAACAGGCTGACTCCCACCTTCCCTCTTCAGATCGATGTAGAGAGCAATAAGGTCTCCCCTGAGCCTCCTCTTCTCCAGAACCACCACAGCTCCCTCAGCCATGCCCCATCAGAGCTGTGCTCCAGACCCCTCACAGTTCACTGCCCATCTCTGGACATGCTCCGCATCCTCAGTGCCTTTCCTGCAGTCCGGGGCCCCAAACTGAACACAGCACTGGAGGCGCAGCCCCACCAGAGCCGAGCACAGGGAGAGGATCACCTCCCCGCTCTGCTGGCTGCGCTACCGCTGATACAAGCCAGGATGCTGCTGGCCTTCTTGGCCACCTGGGCACACTGCTGGCTCACGTTCAGCCGAGCACTGACCAACACCCCCAAATCCTCTCCTTCCGCACGGCTCTCAGCCGCTCTGCCCCAGGCCTACAGACGGCTACAGGCGCTCCCTTCCCTCCCACCCGGCTCCCTGCTGCCCCCTAGGGCCTACCGTTCCGCCCGGGCCTTCCCCACCGCGGGGCTGGGAGGGGGACGGACGCCCCTCGGTGAGGGAGGCCCGGGCGGGGAGGGCTCTGCCCCGCCGCCATTTTGTGCCCCCCGCGCTCACCTCAGGCCGCCTCCGCGCCGCCGCCGGTGCTGCCCCAGCGTCCGCCGGGTGTGAGAAATGGCTCATCCAACGCAACGGAGCGAGGAGGGAAATTTTAAAGAAAAAAAAGAAGAAGAAAAAAAAAAAGACGGCGAGGAGAGAAAAGGGAAAGCCGAGGGACCAAAAATTTAAAAAAGTGAGAGGAAAGGAAAAAGAAAAAAAAAAAAAGCACGGAGGTAGTGGTGAAAAATAATTCCGAGTGGGGGGAGGAAAAAAATGGCGGATTAAAATCCAAGATGGCGGCGCCGAGGGGCGAGCGGTGCAAGGGGGAGGCGATGGAGCGAGCCGCCGAGAGATCCCTCCGCCGGACCCCGCGAAAAAGAGTCCCCCGGGCTCCCTCGCAGGGACCCCGCGGGGCGGCGGTGAGGGCCGGCGGTGGCCGCCGCCGCTTCCTTCTCCTCCTCGCGTTTCTCTTTCTGTGTCGAAGGCCTCTTTCCGCCGGGCAGCCGAGCCGGGAAATCCGTCGCTCCAGCCACCGCGCTTCTAAGTTTCTTCCTCTCTCTCCCGCGAAGCCGCGACCTCCTCGCCCCCTCCGGAGAGGCGCCGCCTGCCCCTGCGCTGCCGGCGGCGGAGGGACACCGCGGCTCCAGCCTCTTGTGCACGCTGCGCGGAAGGATACACCGCTCGAAAGAAAACCGAGCCCTCCTCCTCCTCCTTCCTCGAGCCGCGCCGCTTCCCGCCTCCCCCTCACGCGGGCCGGCGCGGGGGCAGGCCGCGCCTCAGCGAGCTGCCGCGCCTCGCCCGCGGCGGACGGACGGCGGGGACCGCAGCGCCCATGACCGCTCGGCGCGGCGCAGGGATTCCCGTGGAGAAAACGAGGTCCGGGCCGCCCCGCCGCTCGGCGGTGCGCGGGGCGTAAGAAGCGCCGGCCGGCTGCGTGCTGCCGGGATCCCTCCGCCCGGGGCTGCCCTTTAAATGTGAGGCGTCCCGTTGCAGGGCTGTTGGTCCCGGCGCGTTAAGGGCAGAGCGGTGCGGTGGCCCCCCCGCCTGCGGTACGCGGGCGTCCCTTCCCCAGCCTCAAACCCGGTGCGTGGCCGTGGGCCGCCACCTCAGCGAGCAGCAGGCACCTGCTTCCCCTTGCGCCCTGACAGGGCTCTTTAAAAATGGCGCCCAGCCGCTCTGCTCAGGGAGGCGCGCCGAGAGCGCCGCGGTGCCGCCTGCGGCCGGCGGGGCGGCGGGGGCTGCTCTCCCCGCCGGGCGGTGCTGCTGTGGGCGCCGACGGGGTGTGTTCCCAGGGCAGCACCTCGGTGCGGTTGTTGGCTCACCCGCACAGCTGCGTTCTGCTCAAAGTTCACAAGTTTTACTGCGCGCCCGATATTTTTTAAGTTGCCCTTTGTGTTTCTTGACGCAGCGGTACGGTTTGTTCTCAGGCGTAAATTTTATTTTTATAAGTTTAGCAGAAGCTTTCGGAGTATTTGCATTCGCTATCAGTCACCGTGAACGTTTGTGGGAACGACTGGCTGCAGAGAAAGTTCTGAGAGCCGTTTGCCAGTATTGTGGATTCCTCTGTAGTCATCAGAGAATCACAGAACGGTTTGGTTGGAGGGGAGCTTACAGCCCTCCCAGGTCCCAGTCCGTGCCGTGGGCAGGGCTCGTCCTCAGCAGCTCGGGCTGCCCATCCAGCTCTGCCCTGAGCTCCTGCAGGGATGGGACATCCACAGCTCTCTGGGCAGCCGTGCCAGAGCCTCGCTGCCCTCTGGGTCAGGGATTTCTTCCTAACGTCTAACCTGAATCTCTTCTTTTAGCTTAAAGCCATTCACCCTTGTCCTATCAGCGTTACACTGTGTAAAAAGTCAGTCCTCCTCCTGTTTATCAGCTCCCTTCGTGTACTGGAAGTCTTCTGGTGGTACTTAGTAGGAAACTCTGTTTAAGGTTGTTAATAAAACACGCTTTTCACATGGAACTGGGTTTAATTTTGCTTTAATTACCCAAGTGTTGCAGTTCCTAGAGATGGCATGGATGCCAACAGCACAAATTTTGAACAAATGGATGTTACTGTAATGGAGTTGCTCCTGAAGCTCAGCCTTGCCATGCCATGTTGTTAAACCAGATTAGTGCAGTTTTTACATTTAATTTACAAACCCCAGAAAGCTTTATTTTGACCAGAATTCGTTACTAATAGGTCAACAGGCAGTGACACTGTGATAACATCAGTAACAGCACTTGTATGTTGTTTTATAGGTCCTCAGCCTGTTCAGTGCATGCATGGAGTGGGCGGACACTGCATAGCATGGGACCAGGAGATGCCATCTCTGGTCCCAGTGGCACGAAGGGATCACTGCAGCCCGGCGGTGCATGGTGAGTTTGAATGGAGCTGAAGGAAGGGCAGCAAACTTTATTTACACCCTCCTGCAGGCTCCAACTTGTGATCTGAAAGCAAAGTGGACTGAAAGGGCTCTCTTTGAGAATACATTTATCTAAAACTTACTTCTGCTGCTTTTCTGGTGGCTTTTCAGTTTGATTGCAGTCAGTTTTGTTATTTTTTCCTACCTTCTAGCAGCTTCCCACTGTAGCTCTTTCATTCAATAACACAAAATGTTGTCTTTGAAAATCAGAAAGTCAGGTGGTCAAACCATCATAGCATGCTTCAAAAATAAGTCTACTATGTTAAACTATTTTGCCTGCCCATATTTTGTTCTGAAAACCAGCAGACACATGGTAACTGACTCCAACTAGATGTCATCAGAAATTTGTTGTATTTCGTACTGTGAAAACCCCATAGAGAATTTCAACATAACTTTCACTTCCTAAATTCATGCTATCATTTAGGCTTAGTCCTCAGAGGAATGCAAAGGGTTTCAGATCTGAAACTTTTATTGCTTCCTGGTTAATTATCAAAGAACAGGCATGATGACATTATTTCTTACAGGAGTAAAAGTTTATTTCAGTCATGTTACCCAGGATTTCAGTCACATGATGATTTTGTGACTTCCGCTGGATAATTTTTTTCTGATAATACAGGACTGAAAGATGTAGAATGTATGCCAGATGAGTGTATTTCAGTGTGCATTGGCAGCAATCAGTAGTTTTTAATTCCTGAAGTAGTGTTTCTAAATTGTAGGCAGTTACACAATTTATAAATAACTATATTTACTCTTTGCTGAGTCTGTAGCTCTTTCCACCTTGAGGAGACTTGCATTTTCAACATCTCACGTAGGCTGTGACCCTGTAATCATAATATTGCATGTTGATGTTTTGAAAGCATCCAGTTTTCACTTAAAAATTGAGTTCTTAAAATCTTTATGCGATGAGTGGTTTTGTAAATCCACATCTTTTAAGATATTAAACTTGAACTTTGGGTTTGAGTTAGGTGAGGAGACTGCTGCATTGTGCTTGTGTAGGGCATCACACAGGTCCAAGCTTCTACGTTTTCAGAACCAGACCCTCAATCCTTTCACCTCCATGAACAACAGCTGCATCAAATACTGTCCAGTGGTACAAAAACCAAATTCAATTTCCAGGAAAAGATGTGGCTTTGCTGAGCTAAATGTATCTTGTCCCTGTGTGACAGGAATGCTGCTGTTTATTCTTCTTTTATTTGCAGATCTGACTTGAAGACTGTAGTTATGAGCAATTTTGAGGAGTACAAACATGTAACTGAAAAGTCCATTGCCCACTTGACTGTTTAACTCAGCCATGTAGGCATTTGGGATTTTTTTTTGCCTACTTTTGTTATGCAGGACTTTTGCATAGCCCCAGTGTAAGCATTTTTTGAAACAGGCATCTGTGTGTGTGTGTATGCCACTAACAAAGCTGAGTTGTCATACGTGTTCTGGCTCTCCCACAGGCCTGCTAGGCTAGGGGCACCTCATGCAGGGAAAGTTTTATAGCACTGAGAGGAGTATCTGGGAACAGAGCACACTGAATAACTCCGGGTGGTACTGCTCTGAGCCAGCCCTGAACTGTTTGTTACTCAGACACGCTTCAAGCTGATTCCCATGCATAGTTTGACCCCTCCCCCCCATTCTCCATTGCTCAGAAGCACTGAAGCCCCATTTCACTGCTCAAAAGCATTCCTATTTAGTGTACAAGCCCGATGATAAAATTTCCAAGTTTGTTAAAGCATTAACAATAACCTCTTTTAAAAATAACACTGTGTCTTGTAGCTGCTATACCTCCTGTTGCAATTTTAAATAGCATATATACTATACCCAAATCCATACAATCAATCCTGCTGATGGTAAGGGCGCAGCGATGCCACCTCGTGAAGTAGAAACAGGAGGAAATAGAAGTACAAGGAAGAGGCTGCAGTAAATCAGCAGGTGTAATGAGCTCGATTCTTCCTTTGACATAATGTTTTATCTTCTGTTGACAGTAAGCAGATTTTTGATAGCTGTTATCATTTCTTCCAAATAGTAAAAATGTTGTACAAAGTGTAGCAGGTTTCACATTGCAAAAGGCAGAGCGAGCAGTGGATAAGCACTTTATATTGCAGTGGACACGCTAGGAGTTTGTTTCTTTTGTCTGCCGAGTAAGTACATGTCTTCTTGCAATACCTTTGAGAGGATCAATCCCTTCCACTTATATCTGTGCAGGAGCCTTAAGCACCCGATGCTGCGCCCCCGGGAGGAGCCATGAGGTAGGTGTGCCACTGCCATCGACGTGTGATTGCTTCCAACTGGGGTCACAGATCAGTTTGTACCGATGGTTACAAACTTGAAGTTAAACATCACAAGTGCATGTGAAAACGAATAAAATTAAAGACCATTTTCTATCAAAATCTTCATAATTTATTAAAAAATACACATTTTCTCAGTAACAGATGGTCAATAATAGATGATAGATGGCCTCCTCTGTGTAAATTAATGGCTGTAATTCACTTGAGGGCTGCTGCTGATGTCATAAGCTGCCAGAGTGCAGCTTGAGTGATTTATTAACAGCTGCAGAAATCCTAGAGTGAATTACATCCTTGTATTCACTTAGGGTCTGCAGATTGTTATTTATAAGACTTGGAGGTTTGTGTTTCTTCTATATTATAGGAATCTTTTATATGATTGTAATATATGGACATGGTGCAGGACTGACCAGTGTGGAAGTTCAGCTCCCCGTCTGCAGCAAAGGCAGTCAGATTTTCTCTACTAACACTTATCAGCATCAACCCTTTATTTTTAAAAGAAGCTAATCAATATCAGCAGATGTTCATTTAAATCCTGCTTTGTGGGCTTTTTTTCCCCCCAAATGTCAAATACAAATAATGTCAGTATCTTCTTTCCCAGGAACACCCGTGTTCACTCAGTGTTTGCAGTCACTGCCCCTCTTCACATTGAGCTATGTCCAAAACAAAAAGATAGTTGAGAGGTTGATGCTAGAGAGGAGTAAGTGCAATTTCTATTAATATCTTTGTGTAGGAAGGAGGCAACAGATTCAGAAGGCTAGAAAAGGTGCCTGGAAGCCAGAATCTCTCACATACAAGGAAGAGATTGTCCCATCTCCTAATGCTACCTCTACGTAGGGAGAAAACCGTACCTTTCTTCCATAAAATTCCTGCTCAGTAAAAGAGAATGTTTTCTCTGTGGCAGGCCTCAGAATATGCTCATCTTACACATCAGCCCACCTTAACATTCTCTCTACAGTGATCCATGCTTCCCAGATTTATCTCATCCTTCTAAAACGTGAACATGTGAAAGCAAATTAAATAATATTCATTTCTGTAACCTTCCCATCCTCCTGAAAAGTGGGAATAGGTGTTACAAAATCCTGTTTCTCAAACAAGGGATATATTTCCAACAAGTTATGTAAGTCCTAGAGGAAGAGTGAAGGGGAAACGAGAATAAATAATGAAGAGTTGCATGGCAGGAAGGAACAGTCAGAATTCATTTGCAAATGACTATTATTTTTTTGCTGAAGATGTAAAATTTCTCAACAGAATTTCACAGTGAGTGTTTGGATGCTAGCTAGATTCCAGTGAGAATACTTCCAGCTTTGTCTCTTAGTTTTATTTGTCTGTGGTTAGATCTTGCTGGTCATTACGAGAAGCTGCATTTATTGTCAGCAAGAAATACTGCTTTGCTACCAAACAACTGCTGTTTTACTTCTGCTTTCATTCACCAGCATCTGTCTATATGACTGACCTGTCTCTAAGAGGCACAAATTACGATTTTTTTTTTTCACAGAAAACAATTTGAATAAAAACAGGCTCTAGAAATTGTTCAGTGCCTTGAGGCAGAGTCCTTTGAAGTCATTATGAGTTCACTAATTTCAGCAAGCCTATTATTGCTATTATAGCGTCATGGACAAAGCCCAGTCACTTCGAGATCCCACTATGTTAGATATTGCATGAATGTACAGAATGGTATCAAGAAACAGGAAAAATGTCTTTTTTTCTGCTTTCTGGAGTGGAATGCTGCCTTCCTGATTCTTTTGAAATTGCCTACAGATTTGTAGTAGCCAAAATTTGTATATCCAAAAGCTTGACTCTTCTTTCTTAGTTTTTAAATGTTTAGGAGCTACACATGGGACAGATGACCAACTGGACCATAGCCTGTCTGTGATTTGCAACTTCCAGGTAATTTCTGAAACAGGCTCCTCTACTTCCTCTCAAATTGAATCTGAATCAGTTTATTTCCTTTTTCTCTTCAAATTGAGGTTAGTTTGTTTGTTGATTTGTTTTTGTTTGTTTGTTTTGTTTTACGTGTTCTGCATGTCTGCTTGTTAACTTTGGACTCAGTTTATACGGAGGATGCGGTGCAAAAATCTAAGAGCTTGTCAGGTAACAAACTTAAGTTGCACTGATGTGTCATTTTCATGCTTTATGGTGACAAGTTTTATTGTCTCCCTGTAGCTCCATTGTCATTCAGAGATTCATTATATTGTCACAGATTTTCCATTTTCTTTCATCATATGGAGAAGGAAAGCCATTAGTTCGGTACTGTTGCAGTACTCAGCACCTTTCTGTAGTCTCCCTTTTATAGTTGGGCTTTTCCTCCTTGTCCAGAATGGCAAATCACTTGAAGATTGTGGAGTCCCAGGTAATGATGTACATTATTTCTCCCTGTCTCTGCCTTATTTCTGTAAGTTCTGAGACAATTTGTTCCACAAACAGCGGCAAGCAGCCTAATGCTCTCAGTCCCTCAATTCCTATAAATGACAAAATGAAGGCAGTTGTCACATGAATGGCTACCAAGAGAAACAATGTGCTATTTACTATTTATAGATTCATGGTAAATAGCAGTGGAGCAGGTTTGGCTATGCAGTCTCTTTGAATCAAGCAGACTGCACATGTAGTAAGGGGGGGATGGGGGTGGAGTTTCGTGTATGCATTACAGAATTCTAAAGCCAAAAATTATGCTATCTGCAGTTCTGTCACTGAACAGTCTCCAGCTGTGTGAACAGCAAAGGCAAGCTTAGTGTCAAGTGGGTGAATGCGAACAAACACTCTTTCACCTTGCAAGCTTTGTTACTGTTAAAGATGGTGTTTTGTTTGTTTGTTTCTTTTATATATATATGTACATCAGGTATAGCATCCTGGAAAATTTCTGGTGGGTACTGCTCAGAATGCAATAGAGCATGCTGCTTGAGGTGTTATTTGTCTGTGTATATTGCTTGAAAGATCTATCTCACACTTGAAAAGTGTTTTTAAAATGATCCAAAGGGTATCCTGCTTATTTCACGCTTTTGTTTGTGATTTTTGAGGCACTGACTGTGTTCTGCTCATTATCTGACCATATAATCTAATAGTAATTATTTTCTGGTCACAGCTTTTGGTTGTATTGGAGAGAGATGCTGATATTCAGCTTTTTCCTTCTCATACCAGTCAGGTGAGCCTTTGGTTTTCTCCTGATGGGGGACAGGTCTCAGGTGCACTTTTGTAATCCATGGGATGCTCACTCCTGTTAGGCTCTATCAGTACTAAAGACTTACTTCCCAGTGAGTGTTAGATCCACATGTGAATTGTGTTTCCAGTCTGGCATAAACCACGCAGGCACTTTAGCAAGAATGAATCCCATGAGAAGGGTGTTAAATCAAGCATGATGCTGTGGATCCCAGTGGATACCTAAAGCTCGAGCTATTGTTTCCAGAGAGGTTGCTTTACCCAGGAATGGTGCAGTGAGGAGAGAAAATTGCGGGTATGTAATTTTAACTTCCTCACAGGGTGAGCATAAGGATTTTTCCTTTCCTTATAAAAACATTAAAAATTAGGGGAAAAAAAAAGGACGTTTCTGTTAAGAGATAAAAAATAAGTCATGTGAAATGCTGCAGCATTCCTGTCAAGCAAAATTTTTTGCATTCGTGACTTGCTCAGAAAGAAAGAAAGCTATTTTCCAGTACAAGACTACACATTTCAGAAGTGTAAAAGAGGTTAATTTGAAGATAGGGAAAGTATGAGGAGTTAAATTCTGTCCTTGGCTGCTTCACTCATTTGTTATTGGGAAGAATAAAACGTATGAGCTAAAGCAAGTTTGGACAAGATACATCAACAAGTACAAGAGAGGAAAACAGCTTGAATTGAATATACACAGCTAAGGAAACTCTTTTTTTCCCCCGCATCTGCATTAAGATGGAAGCTAGTACCTTTCAGAGGTAGCTTTGGGAGCAGATTGGAAGGAAGACAGACAAAATGTCCTTTAAAAGCTAGGCAGTTTTTGTTGGTTGTTTGGAGACAGTACCAGCTTATCAGCTATGTAGTCAAAATCACTTGCTTTTTTTTTTTTTTTTTTTTTTCACTAAAGCTGTAGGGTATTTACAAATCATGGTGCTTCTCTGCTGAGGCACTTCTCCAGGTTCTTTGCTGTATCACCCTTACAGTTCTGCAGATGAGAATGTCACACTATTCTACAGGAAAAGGATTATTGTTTTAAAGCACTTTCTAAGTTTCAGGGAGGTTCTGGAAGGCCTAAGGCAAATACAGTCTACAGAGATGGAATTTTCTGTAACTCTCCCATTTATTTTCCTGATCACCAATGCCAAGCTTAGGCTGACTGAGACAGGCTGTTGACCTACTCTTTTTGCAAGTATAAATTATCACAAAGGAGGCAGTAGCTGCTCTAGATGCTGTGGAAAATTTTGATCTTTATTCCAGTTGGCCATTTTGTTAGTGTAATGTCTGGTAGAGTCTCTGGAATAGGTAACTCAGGCTTTGGTTACTTCAAACTGAAAGAAAAGTAGATCCCAGAAATATACATTGATGGAATCCTTTGGAAGGGACCCTTAGAGGCCATGTGGTCCAGTTCTCCTGCAATGAACAGGGATGCCTACAGCTAGATCAGCTGCTCAGCGTTCTGCCTGACCTTGAATATGTCCAGGGACGGGACGTTCACCACATCTGCCACCAGATCATTTGCTCATGTATAGTTTTCAGTTTTACAGTTGCTTCATGTGCCTGTGATAAGAAAGTCTATCTCAATGGAATGGAATGGAATTACAGCTTTGATAACGTTCTGTCCTTAAATATGATAGAAAGTCTCTGGACTCCAAAGAGCAATGCATTAAATTTGCCTCAGTTATTACTGCTTCAGGAATTGCCGTAATTGACCTGCTTCCTTGTAACTGTACGTGTAAAACACATTGAAATGTATTCTGTCTTCCTGCTTGCTCTCTGAGGAACTTTTCACAGGTGTAGCACAATACAACCCCAAATCTTATTTAGTGGTGTTACTGGAAATTAGGCTTTTTTCACTCCTTTATGGCTACGTCCTGATGACTTGGTCCTTTCTGTGAAAATGCGAAGTGGCAGATGTAAGAGGGGTGATTACAAATTGAGCCCCTGTGAGCATGGCTGATGCTGTTAATGACAGAAGGATGGGATCAGAGAGTCTCAAAAAGATGGATTTCAGTGTGTTCGAGGAGTACCTGTCTATTCTGACTCTGTGGAAAACGCCTTCCTCTTGGTCATGCTCAAAAGCTGTCTGCTTGCTTTTCTACTCAGTTGCAACCATTTCCTAACAACTTGCAGAGGAAAGCACAAAATCTTTCTGTTGAAAATGTGACCACAAGAGGTTAGGAAAAGGACCAGAATGACAAATTCCCCCATATAGTTCTAATTTTGTATATGAATCATTTCACTGACCATTGTGGCTCCATCTGTTATTTCCATTCTCTCTCTCTCTCTCTCTAACATCTATCCATGAGATAATGGCATCTATCACATAAAAGTTGCCCCAGTGTACAGATGCTGCTCTAACAAAGTGTTGACAAAGAAACTGCCTATGCTCAATGACTGAGTGCAAATCTGGCTTGCCTGATTCAGGTGTCTGAGTCTGTAGCTGAAGGCCTGCCAAAAATGCCAAAAACTCCAAGTTGCCTCTGAGGTGAGGTAGAGTGAAACAGGGAAACTTCCTCAGGGGGAAGTACTGTGTCCAGATATGGAGTCCTTAGTACAGGAGGGATGTGAACATGTTGGAGCGTGACCAGAGGAAGGCCACAAAGGAATGGAACGCCTCCCCTATGATAACAAACTGAGAGCTGAGGCTGTTCAATTTGGAGAAGAGAAGGCTCCAGAGAGACCTGATAGTGGCCTTCAGTATGTTAAGGGGACTGTAAGGTGAGGGACAGGCTCTTTTGCAGGGTAGGACAGGACAAGGGAAAATGGTTTCAAACTAAAAGAGTAAAAAAAAAAATGAGTATGGATATAATGAAAATGTTTTTTTACAGTGAGACACTGGCACAGGTTGCCCTGAGAGGCAGTGGATGCCCCATCCCTGGAGACATTCAAGGTCAGGCTGGATGGGGCTCTGAGGACCTGATCTAGCATAGATGTCCCTGTTCACTGCAGGGGAGTTGGAGTAGATGGCCTTTAAGGAACTCTTCCGACTCAAACAATTCTATGAGTAGCAGAAACTTTCCTTGAAATGAGTACTGATCAGCAGTCCATTCCTTTTAAGGAGATTCTGGGTTTTTTTGGTCTCTGATTTAATGCATGAAGAGGAACTTTATAGTTCTGCTTTCAGAAGCACATTTTACCATCCTGTTAGAAAGCTGCTTCTCCAACATCTGTCTGCCAACACAAAAGGTCATAACAGCCTGATTTGCCACTTGCACAAGGAGTGGGAGCCTATTTTACCGTTTACCTTACATTTTACCTATGTAGCTTTCTTTGCATCATCATTAATGTGTAAAAAATTAACTACCTGCTGTCTACCATAATAAATGCTTAATCCTGAGAAAAGGCTATCAGGCTCAAATTCTATGGAGAGGTGATATGGTGGGGGAGTTGGCAGGGAAGCAAACTGCAGACACTATTTCATAGACAACTCCCTTCTAGGTACTCGTAGGACAAACACAGTTTGTGAATAATTAGGGAAAGCTGAAGGCAGTGGGAAGGCCTTCATTTCACTGAAGACCCTGAGGGTAAGAGCAGTGCCTTGTTAAAAGTCTGACAGCAAAGCTGAGGCTAACAGACTATATCAGATCTTGTGTATCCACAACAGAATTCCAGGCCCTGTGGTCCTGTGCATAAAAGGAACTGTGTGCAAGCCCCAGCTGCTAAAGATGTTATTGCATCCTCAGCGTTGTGCTAAATGCAAAGGGATTAGTGTACCTTGACAGCAATTTGTGAAGGTTTTCTAATTTACAGCTGTCTCTGGAAGTAATTGAGCGAGTTTTTGCTTTGCTTTTGTGTTGACATTGGGAAGCACAGAAGAATAATCGTGGTTTTTCCTGTCCAGCTTTACTCCTGGTAGTGTGTTCTTCTTCACAGGAGAGCAGAAATAGCTGGTATTTAACAGCAACTCCTTTAAAGAACTGCATGACTGAAATCTGAACTTGTTCTTCTTTACAGCTGCCTGATAAGCCTGAGCTTTCTTTCCTTTATGGTGGAATATCATAAACAGTCCTTTGCTTTATTTTTTTTTTCATAGAAACATGTAATTTCTGACATGTATTCACTCTTGACTTCTGCCTTCCTTTTTGGTCCAGAAAATACAGATACTCTAGGTATTTGTAACAGATCAGTAGTTTGGGTTACAATACAGATGTGTTAAAACCTACTTAAAATGATATTTGGGCTGCAAACGCAGCTAAATGCTAAATGTCAAACTTATATTTCACAAGATTGTCTCCTGCATCAGCTCCTCTGGTACGTAGTTCCTGGTCTCCCAGACCTTTTGCATCCCATAATAACAGCTAGCCTGCTCTCTATGATTTTCTTCATCCAGTGTCCATTAGGAGTAGCAGGCAGGGCCAGTAGGACAGGGTTGGCCAGTTGCACACAGCCTTACCCCAGAGAACTCACTTCATGCCAATGCCCTCTTTCCAGTCATCGTCTTGCCAGAGCCATTCAGGGCATCTCACGCTCATCAGGTCGGACTTTACTGTTAAGGCTGAACCAAAGCTTTGTGTGTGGATTTCAGGTGATACCTTCTGCATTCTCTTATAAATTGAGATACTTCTTGCTCTTATTCTTTTTCCAGTTACTTAATGTTGCAGTTAAAACTTTAGGCAGCAAGCATAATTGACAAGCGATCAGCTAGTGGGCGGTACTTGTATGCTCTTAAAAGTCCAGTGTTCCCTTGTGTGACACCCTTGTGTGAATACATGTTCCCTTCAGACTGGGAGCTGCATTTTGTAGTTAGTGACCAAGCACCGTTCTCTTGAGTTATTCCGTTGCAGCACATTCTAGCCTGTAGTCCACTCTGCTACACCAGGAAATGGAAATTCCACAGGCCTTCAGCCAGTAATTTGGTCATTAACGATATCAGATAATTAATAGTAGGCATTTTGCAAAATCCTTGCTGCCTGTGGCTGATTGTACACCTGTCTATCCCTCAGTGTGAAAATTGTTCTTATTTCACGAGTAAGATGATTTGATTTGTATCTGAGCCTTCGGTCCCTTTGGAAGCAAAAATTTTTCTGAAGTGGAATTTCGTGGAGGGAATTTTGACCAGTGGTCTATTAATGGACTTGTGGTGAGACAGCAGATACACGCAACAGAGTGACAGTGCCCTTTTATATTCTTTTGGACAGCACAGTGTCAAGCTTGTTTTCAAACATGGGATTGAGGGATCTTTGCTCACTTGCTGTTTACAATCTCATTTATGATTCCACTTCTAATCTTCCTCTTTTAGGAGAAAACTACGAAGTTGGGTGATTCATTGCTGATAATACCTAACACACCCTGACTCTCTGTTAGCAAAACTTAGATGCAGATGAAGTGGTTGTTGCCATCAACAATGAAGTTATTTCAGAAATTTGGAGAAAACAATGGAGGGAGATGAATATATGT